GTGGACTCAATTTGCACTATTTCTGGCAGTCTGCAAAGGCCTACAGTCCCCCAAATCTTACTGTATTGAAACCATAAAGGACTTCAGGGACATGATGCTATCGCTTCCATAGCAAGCTGTTTGAACCCTGGTCTCCAGAGTCGTAGTCCAACAGTCAAAACATTACGCTAAGCTGGCTGTGCAAATGGCAAATCTGCAAACAGACAATTGCTTTCCCTAGTGTTTCTGCCACAGGTTCTTTCTCATTGAGTGTATATATATATATATATATGTGTGTGTGTGTGTGTGTGTGTGTGTGTGTGTGTATATATATATATATATATATTCTCATTGGGGTGTGTGTGTGTGAGTATATATATATATATGTATATGTATGTGTGTGTGTGTGTGTGTGTGTGTGTGTGTGTAGATAGATAGATAGATAGATAGGTAGCTAGATACACATTTGCTGTCTCCTCTTCTACTGCTGATTTCAGTGAGAAGGCCCCTAACTCCCTAATTCTAATCAAGTATACCCAGCAAGGTAGGTGCCATTGGATTTGCTTCTAAAATAAGCTGGGTTTGGACCTGGTGTGTTAATCGGATGCAAAAGTCATCCTCTGGGTGTTGTAATATTTAACAGTGCAAGTGAGATCTAGTGGAGGCCTGGCGTCTCTGATCAGTTAACACACTAAACTTGAACCTTTATGTCTCCGGAAGGTAATTTCTTCACAAAGGCTGATGCTTAAAATAGATGGCAAAAAGAAAGGGAGATGCTTTCCTGCTTGGAAGGCTGCTGCTTTATGCACAGTATAATTTCAGGCATGGTGTTCATGTGTGTCATGTCCATGAATTTATAGGTACAGGGCACAGGGCACCACAGCAGCACCCACCATAATAGAGATCTGTTGCTTCTTTGAGAATCCACTGCTCTTTGAGGATTCGGTTGCTCAGACACCTTCCCTGTTTCCAGGTGTCCAAGGCAAAGAACTGAGCATTTCGCACAGGGTCCTCTGAGCTTCGGTTGTTGTGTGCCTTCAAGTTGTTTCTGACTTACCACAGGGTTTTCTTGACAAGGTTTGTTCAAAGGGGGGGGGGTTGCCCCTGCCTTCATCTGAGGCTGAGAGAGTGTGACGTGCCCAAGGTCACCCAATGGGTTTTCTTGGCCGAGCAGGGATTTGAACCCTGGTCTGCGGAGTCTTAATCAAATGCCCAAACCACAACACCATGCTGGCTCTTGCAGGACAGAACGAGACAGAACTAAAAAGGAGACCAGGGACAAGAGCAGTGGCCTGGGGGTCCACATTTGCCTCCCAGACCAAGGGGTCTTCCTTCCTGGACTGGACCACTATGCCACAGGGCTCTATCTACATCAGTTGCTCCAGGCCAAAGGCAGACAACCTTGGGGGAATCCACTGACACAAATCATGCTTTTTGAAAAAGATGATGGTAATACAATTAGTCTTCTGTATCCACGGATTCTTTATCCATAGATTCAATCACCAATGGCATGAAGATATTATAGATAAAGATATATAGATTCCAAAAAGCAAAACTTGATTTTGCCATTTTATATAAGGGACACCAGTTTTACTGTGCCGTTGTGTTTAATGGGGCTTCAGCAGCCACGGATTTTGCTATCCATGGGGCGGTGGTGGCCCTGAACCAGATCCCATCAGATAGCAAGGTCCCACTATAGTTATATATTACATTGATTTGTAACATTGATTTCCTCCACTGAACTTGGGGAAGTCTACCTGACTCTCCTCCGCTCCGTTGTTGTTGTCTGACTTATGGTGACCCTGAGGAAAACCTATCTGTGGGGTTTTCCTGGCAAGCTTTTTCAGAAGGGGTTTGCCATTGCCATCCTCTGAGGCTGAGAGAGAGTGATTTGCCCAAGGTGGGTTTCCATGGTTGAGCAGGATTCCAAGGTGAGTTTCCATGGTCGACTAGGATTACTTCTCCAGTGCAGATACAGTCCAAGAACCAATTTCCTCCTGTTCGACTCCTTCCCACCTTCGTGATGCGATTTGCCTTATGTTGGAATTTCGGGTTGAGATGGCAGAAATGGCATCCTGGCACAATGACACTACAGAAAGGCCATCAATCATAAAGGTAAAGTATTCCCCATTGACACGGTTGTGAAGTTGTGTCCAACCATAGGAGCGGTGCTCATCTCCTTTTCTAAGCCAGAGAACCAGCGTTGTCAGAGACTAGTCTGTGATCAAGTATCCAGCATGATTGCACAGAACGCTGTTTACCTTCCCACCAAAGTGGTACCTATATATCTACTTGCATTTGCATGCTTTCAAACTGCTAGGTTGGCAGAAGCTGGGACTAGTGATGGGAGCTCACCCCATCATGCAGCACCATCAATCATATTTGTATATTAATATATGTGACTTGAGAGAGCAGGATTCGAGTCCCAGCTCAGCCATGGAGACCCACTGGGTGACCTTGGGCAAGTCACATACTCTCAGCCTCAAGGGAAGGCAATGGCAAACCTCCTCTGAACAAATCTAGCCCAGAAAACCCCAGGAGAGGGTCGCCTTATACTATACGTTAGTATAGTATCTGGAGCTAAAAGACCGATGATCGAATTGCTAAAGGAAATAAGGCCACCTTTTCTAAACATTGAGCAGGCGTTGAGTGTGGAGCTGCATCTGCACTGGAGAAATAACCCAGTTTTTGATGCCGCCTTTCACTGCCATGGCTCAATACTATAGAATCCTGGAAACTAGTTTATTGTGGCACCAGAGATCTCCCACAGAGAAGGCTAAATGTCTCATAAAATTACACTTCCCAGCATTCCCAGTGGGTTTTCTTGGCCAAGCAGGGATTTGAACCCTAGTCTACAGGGCCATAGGTCCAAAATACACTGCAGAAATAATCTGGTTTAAGGCTGCTTTACCTGTCCTGGCTCAGTGCTAGGGAATCCTGGGGTTTCTTGTGGCATCAGAGATCACTGACAGAGAAGGCCAAATGTCTCACAAAACTAAACTTCCCAACATTCCCTAGCATTGAGTCAGGGCAGTTAAAGCAGTTTCAGACTGGATTATTTCTGCAGTATGTTTTGGACCATAGAGTATGACTGTTAAAACACGATTTCTATTTGGGATGATTGATTCCAATAGCGGGACTATATAGCCCTGCAGTCAGGATTAAATTCTAAAATGCTGAAAATTGCGTGATGATCATTTTGCTTTGAAAGAAAAGAAGAAGAATTCAGGTCCAATCCACACTGCAGAAATAATCCAGTTTGAGACTGCTTTAACTGCCCTGGATCAATGCTAGGGAACCTGGGAACTGTAGTTTTGTGAGACATTGAACCTCCTCTGTCAGAGAGCTCTGGGGCCACAACAAACTACAGTTTCCAGGATTCACTCAATGCTATAGAAAAACACACACACAAGTGTTCCCAATGCATGTCCACACACCAGAGTATTTATATGTTTGTTGATGCAAATGCTCAATCATTCCACTTTTATTGCCATTACATCTTTTCCACTCCTTCATTACAAACAGTTGTTGTTGTTGTTGTTGTTGTTGTTGTGCACTTTCAAGTTGTTTCAGACTTATGGTGAAGTTGTCAAGTTTCTTCAGAAGGGGTTTGCCACTGCCTTCCCCTGAGGCTGAGAGTGTGTGACTTGCCCAAGGTCTCCAGGCTCCTGATCCAAACAGCCTTCCAGACTCTGGTGCCAGCCTGCATCCAGTGGTGAAGGAAGGGAGGGTGGTTCATCTCTTCTTGATAGTTTGCTGGCTTTGTGTGGAGAGCCAAGGTGGCAGTAGTGGTCTGAGTGTTGGTTGACAACTCTGGAGACCAGGGTTCGATTCCCAGTTTGGCCATGAAACCTAGTGGGTGACCTTGGGCAAGGTCACACTCTCTCAGCCTCAAAGGAAGAGGAATGGCAAATCTCCTCTGAACATATTGCCAAGAAAACCCTTTGATAGGGCTGCCTAAGGACCTTATCACACGCAGGCCACAAAGCGATAAGAAAGCGAAATAAGAATAAATCCAGGAATAAACCGAAAGGAACCCCACAATACGTAAATGGCTATAAGACGCAACTAGCATCATTGCGCAATTAAGGAAAGCGCGATGAAGCGTTCCTGGGAACCGTATTTGCTGTTCACACACAATTGAGAAAATCCCTGACATAACCAAGCAATGATGCCCTGCA